ATACTATCAAGCTCTGGGATACAGCGACGGGCACCGAGCGCCAAACACTCAAGGGCCACTCAGGTTGGGTCGAGACAGTGGCTTTCTCGCCCGATGGGTGTACTCTGGCGTCAGGCTCAGACGACTATGCGATTAAGCTCTGGGATACAGCGATGGGCACCGAGCGCCAGACCCTCAAGGGCTATTCAGGTTCGGTCGAGACAGTTCTGAATGAAACTACTTCTCACTCACAAATATGCTTATGGAATGCTTGGATTTCTTTAAAAGGTGAGAATTTGTTGTGGCTCCCTGCTGAGTATCGTTCATTTTCTTCTTATGCAGTCAAAGACACTACAATTGCGTTAGGGTATAGGGATGGGCGGGTCTGTATAATAGGATTCCACTTGTAGATTTAAATCACTTGAGTCTCTTATTTTCTAATCTCTTTGTAATAGAAGGGCCTGGGATAGCTCAGATTTATATACCACTTTTTGCCTTTGTAAATAAGACCTATTCAGTGGTTTCTAGATAATTCTGTAAATATGGCTAACTTGCTATTTTCTCTTATTCCCGATGGTTCCGAGCTAAGGGACAAAAGCCGAAATTACTTTGATATATGTTTTATGTAATATTATATGTCAGTACAGGACACGGCACTGATCGGGAGAATCATTATTCCATTCCAATCCAAATCCAGCCTAGCTTAGTTTCATACTAGGGTTACTGAAACAATCAAAGAGGGTAAGTGGTGACACCGGTATCCGGACACACTGTACTAGAAGAGAAGACGGGCGGTACCTTGCAGACTGTATAATAGGAAAGGACTCTGTATGAATATATGGCAACTGTAATTGTGCCATATCAAAATTGTTGAGTGGTTGAGGCTGTCATTGTGTGCCGAGCGGGAACTAGTCTCGGCCCGATGGCGATCCCGCCCGCAGGGGTTGCCGAACCCCATCCCACAAACACGGAAGAAACACCACGAATCTTCACGCAAGAAGTTTTTTGCCCAAGGATCCCATTGACAAGAAAACGCCGCAAGAGGGGTGTAGATACGGAAGAAAATGAGCCGATCTCGAACTCTGAATTCGCGACCTGCGGGGAAAACAATGGAAGGGTGATAAATCAAGATGTTTGGCATTTCTTTACTAGCTTTAAGGAGGCACTTGCCTACTAAATAGAAATAATTGAGGTAGTAAGAGTAGAAATTTGGGAACTGAAAGTGGAGCAGCAGTTCCTGTAAATATAGAATGTAGAATTGCGAGAGGAGATTTAAGCCCTCCGGGCTAAAACCGAAGTATAATAGCTGAACACGCCCCCGATAAAATCCTGGGCCGTAGTGGTAGCCGGTAACTCTGTACCAGACCCTAAAAGAACTGTTTCATGTCTCTAAAATGAACCGAATTACGTTAGAATCAGCACCGCACTGACTTTTGATGAAGAAATTGATAATGATCGCTTCTTGAGGTTCCTGTCGACCGATGCGGTAAATACACATATTAGAATAGCTCTTCTAAATACGGAATTTACTAAAGAAGTGTAGGTGGCCAGTATTGGTCCTATAAAAATAGGATATGTTATTCGATTCCGAGATGCTTAATTCGTTGAGATAGCCCGGAACAATACCGAGTGGTTTAAAGAACTGGGAAATAATACTAAAGTAGTGAAACCTTGGTTTGGTATTGTGGTCTACCGAGTTCCTATAGAAGACTTTAATTTAGAAGAGAACAAGAAACAAGGAATAGAGAAGATTATGATAGAAAATGATCTTTATAAAAAAGAATTCCGGGTTGAAGACGTTGTATGGCTAAAGAAGAGAGATATGTCTATGGGCAAGTCGGCCTCGATGGGGATTTGGCTTGATTTATTGGAGGTAGTGGAATGGATTATTAACAATGAACTGCTAGTAGGGTAGAGGTTTATCGGAAGCGTCGAACCTTACCGGGTTGAATAGAAAAGATGTCGCCGTTGTTAACAATTTGGCTATTTAGCTTGGTTATGTAAAGAGCGAGTGAAATGTGGCTATTGTGCAAGAGAGCACGACTAATGTTATTGCTTCCCAGGAATAAGACCTAGATGCTTAGACTGCAACGGAGAATATTTAATAGGAGACTGGTTGTGCCAAGCATCCTTTAACCCTAGATTATCCCAATAATACCAAACCTTCGTATTCTACAGTTGAATATCATGAAATCGAGACCGGGAATGGAGGCCCTTATTAATGACTACCAGAGTCAGAGTCTCGATATACTCCTGATCCAGGAATTACTAATGACTGCTTACCAGACCTATATTAACCACAGCGCATGGCGATTCTACTAATTAACCTATGTTAAGGAATCAGTCCGGTTCCGCAATCTGCTCTATGTAAACCGAAGAATCTTAATGTCCTTACACCGCCAAATCTATTGCAATTATCTGGATGTGGTGGCTATTAAAATCTGGATCCCAGAGCTATAATATCTTGTTTTTTCTATCTATGTTCTATTAAGTGTATTATATGATATGGTTGAGGCCAACAGCGCTTAACAGGTTTTAGAAGTAATCTAAATAAGTATTTAACGGTACACTAAAGGAAACCACCGCATAACTAAACTTATCCTAGCTGGTGATCTTAATTGTTATCACCTAGCATGGAGCCACTGGCTGGTATACCACCGTGTCGCACAACACGCAGAAGAATTGCTCGATTTTTTCTAAATCCACGACCTACAATGGTGTTTGGCCCTAGATTAATCGACTTTCTGGTCTCTCAGCGATCCTGGGAAGGCCTTAGTCCTAGATCTTACCTTTATAAACGATCCAGCAAGGCTGATTAGATGCCATCTTTACTACGATCACTATAGGTCAGACCATCGTGGGATATACTTACAATGGGACCTACACCCAGAATACAGCATAAAATCGAAACCGAAGAGGGCATATGACCGCGCTGATTGGGCTAAAGTAGGTCAGAGTATACTCTCTCTAATTGATCTATAACTAGAAATCCTGTTATAGTAGGATCTAGACCACGCGGTGTAAAATCTGATTTAAATAATTATTACTGTTCTCGACTAGCATGTCCTAGTCCAAAGGCTATTCCTATATTCTAAAAAATAGTTTACTGCAGAACTTAAAATCCAGCAGATCGAGGTTAACCAAAGCCACCGGAGATGGTAGGATGGATGTGCTAATCTAGGGCCCAATAATCCAATAACGAAAACCCTTTTTGAAGAAACGCGACGCAAAAGACGAGAATGGACGAGGGCCATTGAAAAGGCAAAGGCTGGTCACTGGAAAGAATTTCTCGATAAAGCCGGCGAAGGCTATCTCTGGAAGGTAGCCACCTACATGCGGCCCCGAGATGCTTATATGAACATTCCATCACTTACAGCTGTTTGCAAAAGTGGTGCAACTCCATATACTTTTGAGTTCTTTCCCAAGCCCTACTTCAAAAGGAAACCAAACTGTATGTGGTAGAGT